CCCAGCACTTGAGGGAGAGAAACATTTACTATTAAATATTGTGTAGCAGAGCTGGAGAGATGACTCAGAGGTTAAAAGCATTGCCTGCTCTTCAGAGGTCCTGAGTTCAATCCCCAGCAACATGGTGACTTACAACCATCCGTATGAGAGCTGGTGCCCTCTTCTGGTGTGCAGATATACATGGAAGCAGAATGTTGTATACATAATAAATAAATAAAATCTTTAAAAATAAATAAATAAATAACATAAGATAATTACTGTCCTTGCAAATAGTTTGGAAAATTGGTTGTTAGCAGGGAAGGCCAGAGAAGATATATAACATGCTTTCTAGCAGAAGCTATTTTCAATTGTGCACTTTTAAAATTCCTCTTTAAAAACTGGGTGTAGTGGCACACTCCTTTAGTCCCAGCACTTGGGAGGAAGATGAAGGCAGATCTTTATGAGTTCATGCCTACATAATGAGTTCCAGGTCACCAAGGGTTATATAGTGAGACTGTGTGTGTGTGTGGAGAGAGAGGGGGGAGGGAGTAGAAGGCTTTTTTAATTTAAAAAAAAAAAAAGCTTTATAAGCCGGGCTGTAGTGACGTACACCTTTAATCTCAGCACTTGGGAAGCAGAGGCAGACAGATCTCTGAGTTTGAGTCCAGCCTCGTCTATAGAGCAAGCTCCAGAATAGCCAAGGCTACACACAGAAACCCTGTCTCAAAACAAAACAAAACAAAACAAAAAACAGCTTTCCAAACTCATTCATGGTAATGACCATTTTCAATGTGGGCATCACTGTGGGCTAAAAAGTACATTCCCTGGGTTTGACTGCTTTTCTTCACTGGCTGTGACCAGCAGTGCGGTGGTGCAACATTGTAACAGAGATGGGATGAGGTGCCCAGGACAGCACCATGACCCCTTCCACTTCACCCTCTTTGTTGGGGGATCAGGAGGGAACTGGCACCATACTCTTAAGCTCTGACAGGTTCTGTGCAGTGTTCTCCCAAGCAGTCTTAGTCAGGACTTATCATTTGACATTACAGGGCCATTGGCAGTGGAAAGAAGGAAGTAACTTGCCTGAAAGTCTTAGGGGCCAGGACAGTGGATCCCATGTGCCTCTGCCAGGGCCTAATCCCTGCTTCCATGCAAATGAACCAGATGGTCACAGCCTAGAACTCTATCTTGAAGTCAGAGAGGAGCCCTTGCCTGTCTTGGTGGTGGTAGTGAGTAACTAGCTCCACGCTCCCTGCTGTTGCAGTGCACTTGGTAACAGCTCTGGGTCTGTCTCTCCACAGCCTTATGACAGTCTGCCTACCTCACAGACCTGCTTCTTCCAGTTGCGGCTGCCCCCCTATTCCAGCCAGCTGGTCATGGCTGAGCGCCTGCGCTATGCCATCAACAACTGCCGTTCAATTGACATGGACAACTACATGCTCTCAAGAAACGTGGACAACGCCGAGGGCTCTGACACTGACTACTGACTGATGAGGGTGCTGTCACCGCCCCTTTCTCAATAATGCTCACTTCCGACTTGATGTTGATACACTTTTATGGTAACTGCATAGATGTTTTAGGAACATAAGCCGACATAAACAGTGGCCATGTTTAGTTACTTCAAATGAAACAAAGAAATTAGATGTTTTTATTTTTCTGTGATTGTACAAAAAAGCAGAAACTGCTCAGTCAGGTTTCCCTCTGTATTTTTGGTCACTTTGGATAAGTTTGCATGGAACCATTTTGGTGCATTTTTAGTTGGGAATGATACATTTTTGTAAGCCCACCCAGTGAACATGAAATTGTACATTGTGTATAATTGTTCATTAGAAAGGACAGTTTTACATGAATATTCATATATTTATTTTGTTTTAGTTTGATTCACCTGTGCAGGGTTCTTTACGCAGAGAAATAAAACAGATTCAGGAATCAGACCAGAGACTGCTGTTGTTGAACCAGGGAAGCTCTGGGCTAGGAGTTGAGGCAGACATGAGCCCAGATGGCATGAGCTTTACTGTTCAGCCAGTGTCACTTTGAAGCTCTTTGGCTATTCAGAAACTGGGGCAGGTTTCATCTGAAAAAGATACTACTGAGGGTCACAGTGGTGGGAGACGCCAGGGCCTGGCTGCCTCCTTCCCTTTGTTCTGCTGGCATCCTGGGTGACTCGTTTTGTTTCCTCACTCTGGAACAGAGCTTTCTGGCACCACCCCTCCTCCTGCAAAGCTTCAGCACATCCGGTGTGAGACAGCATTTCTGTGCCAATGCCATGTGGTAAGAACTAGAGGAGACAGAATGAGCGAGCGATAGTACCAAAGGACATCAACGGAAAGCGTGGTCCAGAAGGGACAGCTGTGTACCTGCAGGGACTCAGCAAGCATAAATAAGTGCCGTGAATTCATATGAGCGCTAGTATCTGTATGGGAGAGAATTGTGTGAGGGACTGAGAAAGCCCCACTTGGTGCTTGAGCCCCCCCCCATGGGTCGTTGGTAATTGCCCATCTGTGCTAGAGTGGCATCTGAACATGTTGGGGACAGAGGGGCCACCTCTAGGTGGCTGTGAGGCTTCTGCAGTATACCAAAAAGAGTTGGAAGTCTGTGGGCAGCTTGTCTCTTTTATTCCTACCAGGTCTGTGTCCCATGGAGTCAAGGGAAATAAGGTACCAGGCAGAGAAATGGGAAGGTAGTCATTCATCAGTAGAAAGGCAGTGTTTGTGTTCAGAGAACATGAAAGAAAAATGAGGTTCTGCCAGCCATGATAAGTAGTGCATGAATCACAGTGAAAAGCAGATAATCATGGCATCATTTTATTGAAGTTTTCACATGGAATTGGGCCTTAGAGAAACATTGAAGTTTCTGGGGGACACCAGGGCCTTCTGGATAAAGACAAGTCCTTAATTCTGGGCTTGAGGTAGGAAGGCCCTGCCTGGGCCTCTGGGCCAGAGGAGTTTCCCCTGAGAGAGTAAGGCTCTGTGCTGATGAGGTTAAGGTCCCTTTGACTCCTGTGTTAACTCCCAGTGACAGCAGTGCTTTCTCTCCCGCTGAGCTGAGGTGTGCAGTCTGCAGGCTTCAGCTTATTTTAGTTGGAAATAACGCCTTAACCCTGTGGGCTCAGGCCTTTGACAGCAGATTTGCTCTGCCCAGAGAGAGTGGGATTGCTGTATCTGCCTGGACTTTGTTCATTGAACTTCATTGGCTTTCCCTGTGCTTGGTGTGCTGCTTCCTACTGCCATGAGATGATCCCCAAGGGCTCATTTAATCCTTCCCATAATCTGCCCTTCACTGCTCCCTCCATCCTGTTCTCAACTCCTCTCATCCCTTCCCAGCCATGCTGGTCTCATCGCTGTTGCTAACACCCCATCAGTGTTTGGCGCCCTGAAGTTTATTGGCCTGTAACACTTTCCATTTGGCTTGCTGGGCTCCCTGGCTCGATTCATGGCTCAAGTGTCACCTTCATGAGATGAAGTCAACCCCTTCTGAGTGCCTCCCCACCACCAGAGTTGCCACCAACCCTGGTGGTGGGGAGTCATCCCCATCCTACCCCACAAGCCGCCTTCTGGACTAATTACTGCCTCTACTAGAATAGAGGCTCCGTGGGAGCAGAACAGATTTTTTGTCTTTTTCTTGCTGTTTCCCATCTGGGAACAAATTAAAGAACCCGTGGGTCAGAATCGGGAAAGCATTTCACAGAAAACTGAAAAACCTGGCTGCAGATAAATGGCTGAGTCTTGATTACAGCTGGCGGTGGGAGGAGTCCCGCTGAGCTTCATACCCACCTCCGAGCTGTGCCCTTTACCCTGCTTGCTCCGTCCCTGTCTAGGCCCTGATCATGGAGACAGGACGACTAAAGTGAAACTGACCTGAAGTGCATGCCCAGGGCCAGCAAATCTAGAAAATAAAAGTCTTTTCTTTCAACTATATCCAAGCACTTAACTAGAGCTACTGCTTTTATCTTTAAATACTGGTCTTTTTTTTTTTTTAAGTGATGCATTTTCCCTCGTGAGAACCGTAAGAGAAATACTGGTAACTATCAGTCATGCAGGGACGAAGCGAGTTTTTCTAGAATGGCTTGTGCCTCCTACTTCGGTGTGTGCCCCAGCCTCGAGTTCTTACTCCCGCCCTTCAGAGGCTCCTCGCCAGCCTAGTGCGCGGTCCCGCCGCTGAGGCGAGTGAGCGCGCGCGGGCAGCACCCGCGGGGTCCGGGCGGACGTTAAAAAGAACCACCGAATGTTTTTACAAGCATCCGCTCCTTTAATTGCGCGCGCGTCCTCCACAGGAACTCGTGGCGTGAGGGAGGCATTGGCCCCCAGGTGCAGCCGGGGAAACCGAGGCAGCACACCCGCGCGCGAGCGGCGGCTGGTCGGGGATCATGGCCGCGCTGTGCTCGGCGCTCA